CCTGTTGATAGCATATTGGCAGTGACAGGTACTCTTTAAGGTAATGCTGGGGGTCCAAAAGACCCCTACTATCACCTTTCCACTTTAAATAAGCTATTGAAGTGCAGATCACACTTCAATAGCTTATTGCTGGGCTTCAGGAGCCGAGCAATAACAGCTATGGGACCGGAAGTTATGTGATCTGCATCGCTCCAGGTCCCATAGAGAGGGGAAGAGATTGGCGAGCGGACATTCGCCGCTCTCCTCCCCAGCTTCCTGCTGACACCTGAGATACCGGTCCCGGGCGGGCAGGAATGTCAGGCGAGGGGGTGGGCAGCCACCAGCTCAACAAATGTAAAAAGAGTCCCAGGGGCCTGTTTAAACGGGCCCGCTGCCAATGACTTACTATGTACATCACTGGTCACGAAGGGGTTAAACAGGTTCATCCTAAAGGAACACTTTAATATGGAATAGCTTCAGTCAATCTTGCAGGTAGGCCAACCAGGACTGGCTTCTTTCTATCAATTTAAGAAAGGCCTATTTCCACATTCCGGTGCACTTGGAGTTCCAGCAGTTTCTGTGCTTCTCAAAAAACGAACGCCATTTTCAGTCCATTTGTCTTCCTTGTGGCCTTACCACCTCTCACCAAGTATTCACCAAGGTTCTCCTTGCGCTGGTTGCTATTCTCAGGACAAAAGCTGTCCGGTTATACCATTATCTGGACAATATTCTGTTACTAAATCAAGATCAGGATACCCTTATAATTCATCATGATCTTGTTCTGTCGATGTTGGAAAAATTTGGATGGATAGTCAATTTGGGCAACAGCCAGCTCGATATAGTTCGAAATCTTGCCTACCTGGGAGCACAAATAGACACAGTGAAGAGTTGCGTGTCTCTACCTGTGGAAAAAATACTGGCAATCCTGGAAAGAGTCACTATGACTTCTTAAATCAAATCAGCATCTCAATGCCTACAATTGATAGGGACTATGACTTTGACAATACCTATGGTCAAGTGATACCAGTGGGGAGCTTGCCTGTTCCAGAGTGGATTCCTGGAGCAGTGGACATTAGAGAGAATGGACCAGAAAATTCTGATCAGCCCATCAGATTTCTGCCATCTAGCAGACAGGTAAGTGGCTCGGTGGGGGAAATGGTGAGGGGTACCTCCTGGGAAAGAGGGGTCCCACCACTGGACCACTTGGGCCCTGTATTGCCTCCTGGGTCCCCGCAGACATGGAGTCATGGTGAGGGCAGCTGTACCTCAGCAGGCTGGGGAAAAAACTCAGCTGGAGCCGACACAGCTGGAGGATGGTTGCCGCTCTTGAAAGAGGGGAACCTTAGGGCCACTTCACCCCAAAGGGTAGGACAGGGTGGGGACTGCCCTGGGAAGCTGCTCCTGTATCCCAGAGACCGCTGGCCCTAAAGGAGGGGATACCTGACGCAGTAGGCCCTTGCCGCGTGCACGCAGGCCTATACAGAAAATAAAAAAACATCCCGATGCTCCTGTATAGGCCGAGGAAACACAAATAACTGAGGCATGCCAGCACTAGGTGCCTTTTTATTTGGTGTGTATGATGTGTTTCCTGTTTCAGGTGGGAGGAGACTTTCTCTCAGATGCTGTCCTGGAAGATTACTTGGGAAAAACAAGGGGGCAGACAAAGTCGGTCATTATTGAGGGAAGTGGCACCAATCATGATCGACACAATCCAACCTTCTGAATATTTCAGCGATGTACATTCCAGGCCAGAACAATATCCAGGTAGAATATTTATTGAGAACACATCTGGACAACAATGAATGGTCACTACTTTCGGAAGTGTTTGGGAGGTTAACGGACTGGGCATTCCTTCCACAGGT